GTAAAATGTAGAAGAGCTTCTACATGCAAGTTTCTTTATGTCTTAGTGTAAAATGTAGAAGAGCTTCTACATGCAAGTATCTTTATTTCTTAGTGTAAAGTGTAGAAGAGCTTGTACATGCAAGTTTCTTTATGTCTTAGTGTAAAATGTAGAAGAGCTTCTACATGCAAGTATCTTTATTTCTTAGTGTAAAGTGTAGAAGAGCTTCTACATGCATGTCTCTTTATATCTTAGTGTAAAGTGTAGAAGAGCTTGTACATGCAAGTTTCTTTATGTCTTAGTGTAAAGTGTAGAAGAGCTTCTACATGCATGTCTCTTTATATCTTAGTGTAAAGTGTAGAAGAGCTTCTACATGCATGTCTTTTTATATCTTAGTGTAAAGTGTAGAAGAGCTTCTACATGCATGTCTCTTTATATCTTAGTGTAAGGTGTATAAGAGCTTCTACATGCAAGTTTCTTTATGTCTTAGTGTAAAGTGTAGAAGAGCTTCTACATGCAAGTCTTTTTAAATTTACTAGTTGAAGCTGTATTAAGAAAATAGTGCTATGTAGTATGTTCTACTTGTATGACAACATTTTGGAATATCTAATGTCTATCTGTCACACCTACTCCGAAACCACGTGTTTATTCAAAAATAGAGTTAGGTGTTATATTTTGAAATACACGCGGTTCGAAAATTTTCAGGATTTAATTTTAATTGCGTTAGTATACGCGTTGTTCTCTACATTAACGTGTTTTCAACAACACTTGCCAATAAAAAATAAAAAAACTGTCGAAAGTATGATTTACTCCGTATACACAGAATGTTCCAAACTATATTAGATATAATGCCACTACATTAACGTGTTTTCAACAACACTTTCCAATAAAAAATAAAAAAAAAACTGTCGAAAGTATGATTTACTCCGTATACACAGAATGTTCCAAACTATATTAGATATAATGCCACTACATTAACGTGTTTTCAACAACACTTGCCAATAAAAAATAAAAAAAAACTGTCGAAAGTATGATTTACTCCGTATACACAGAATGTTCCAAACTATATTAGATATAATGCCACTACATTAACGTGTTTTCAACAACACTTGCCAATAAAAAATAAAAAAACTGTCGAAAGTATGATTTACTCCGTATACACAGAATGTTCCAAACTATATTAGATATAATGCCACCATCTTTTGCTCAGGATTGTCTAAATGATGATTCTGTATCTGATCCCACACTGCTGATAACTCCACAGTCTAGCCGTCGAATCTATCGTTTCCCGTCATGCGCCGCTTCGCACATTGACCAACCTCGTCAATCAATAACAGCAGTGGCAGGAAGTAATTGAATTCTACACTCTGGAATGGCCGACGTTTCTGGTGGGGGGGCGGACGTTTCTGGTGGGAGCGGTTAGATCATCGTATCATTCGATAGGGGGAAAAAAATCTATTAAGACCATTTAAGAGAGTAGGATGGGAGGCAGATGAGAATAATGATGAGCATAAAACATCAAATAAGCCCTGATTATGTATTTATTGTTGTTGTTTTTTTTCTTTTAATATTTCAGGATTTTTTCTTTTCGTCATACATGTTTATCATTTCCATATTAGTGTGATGCGTGCAGGACGCTTTTTACATGTGAGAGATGGAAAAACAATGAACATTAAAATACTTCAGATAAACATTTCTACCCTTATTAGTTGATGTCACTTTTATTGTGAAAATGACGGGTATTTTTTAGTAGTTTAGGATGTGAAATTTGAAATACTAGTACACTGATCTTTTGGTTTATTTGCTAATAGGACGAAGGTTAGAAGAAGCTTTAGCTCGAGCTATCATTGTGTGGTGTTTTACGCTTCATGGCTTATTATAACCGTATGTAGTATAAACTCATGCAATATTTTTCTTATTGATTTATGAACAAACTTTGTTCATTTTAGAATTCTTTGAAGTTTAAAACACGCGAAAACCTCAAAAAATCGTGTATTTATTGTGATACTGGAAACGAAATATACGTTGAAACACGCCTTTTTTATTTCACACGACTTTGCGTTAACTTGTTTATCAATACCTGGTTCTTTCCACTGATCCCCTCACCTTGACACAACAACAATACGGTATCAGTCAGCTTCTAGCTCACTCAAAGCTATAGCTATGCATTCATACAGGCGCGACACCCGTCTCAAGCGGGAATATGTACACGGCCTCTGCAGGTTCTATGATCGAAGAGGCGGTTACCGTGGCAACCGTCGTCTACCAGTGATCTTTTAGACGTAAATGGAAGGTCCAGCTGAGCGCTTTGTCTTGCCGATTTCTTACACTAGGCAGACATGTAGGCAATCGACTATAATTGACAGTACCTTCACAATATGCTACAAGGAGCGTTAACTGATAGACTCTGAAATACAGATCATAAATCCATATTGGATTACATTAGAATAGACAAAAATTATCAATAATTTGATATATAAAAATGTGTTAAGCGTATCAGATTCACTATTTAACATATACAGTTATTCACCAATAAAAGATATATTGGGCTATTTGCTATTATTCGTAAGAAAACGTCGGCAATAATTTATCAAATTATCATGATACACGTAATACTTCAATAATAACAGATTAAGTAATATATCTGAAATTTTATTATTTTATTTATATATTATATAAACACATTATTTTATTGTGTTATTTATAAGTATCACATGCAAACTTCTTTTAAACTACCATTTTTATTTCAACCATATTTAAAATTTTGAATTACGTCAGTATGAAGAAAAATAATAATAATTTAACTATTTTCATAACGTCATCGTAACGTCACAGTAAACCAAAACTCTCTTATGCTTTCCATTATAAAATAATTAAAAACATAATTTTTTATATTTTCTTTTTTTTTGGCTGTATGGAGAATGAAGCATACTTTTTTTTGCATATTAATGTAAAAAAAAATTAATTAACAGCTCAACAAAGAAATAAAACTTACACTCATCTTTGAATGAAATACATAATTATTTTATATTACAGATGCTGGACTCGAACCTCTAATGGCTCGACGTTCTCTGTAACTCCACACAAAGGCAGACATAACATCGTTTAAAGGGCGCCAGAGGGTGGCGAGACGCGAAATGAATTTTTCATTTTTTATTTTTTGTCTTCTTCGGTTGTAGAGCTAATATTTATGTCGTAATATGTAAACGATATTACATAAAATATTTCAATAATTAAATAATTTATATTTAATACTAATATTAAATATTACAGTAAATGAAGAATTCAATTCGAGTAAAATTTTATATAATTAATTATAGCATAAGATTTCTAATTTATTATTTTATAGTTTTTTTTCTTATAATTTACGAACACTCCCCTAATATAATGTACGCAAGACTTGTTAGGAAAAAAAATCTTGGATTTGCGTTTTTCCTGCTGATCTCCACGAAGCTAGACAGGAAAGCTAGCAAACACGCCATGTCCAAGTCTTATCCACAGTTGTGATTTTTAAAACACGAATATCAAATATATAATTTTATGATAGAAAAAAAAATATTACTTAAATTTGATTTAGCATAAATAACTAAAACTACTTTAAAATTAAAACGTAGAATAGCATGCTCGAACTCTCGTCAGTCGCCAGGTCCGCCGCGCTCACGACTTGGCCACAAACCAGGCACTGTTGTGGCTACCTCATTGCGTCGTTTATTTTAACCCTGAATTCACCGCAACCAATAAATTACACTATCAATTAAAACGTATCTACATATACATGAAAAGGGTTACATAACGGTAGTCCTACCTTGAAAACCTAGGGCACAAACTCCAGACTTGCTTACAGTTCCCAAGTGTCTCTCGGCTAAGGATCTTGTAAATAGTGTTCATATGATATGAAAACAGGCTACACCTCTCTACTCTTCTTCAACACAGACGTTACCAACACGCATGCGTTTGTAGCGAAGGTTTTTGATTAGACTGGTGGATGTGCGCATGGATGGGGGTATTGGTCGCTGCGTCTGGCTAGCGCTTTGGAGTGGCGTATATCCTGACGTAGTTCCTCCTTGATAGCAATTAGCAAGCATGGGTCGCATATACAAATACATACTAATAATATATTTTATAAATTACACAAGGAAATATCATACACAAGGTATGATTATGTTAAATGTGATAAAAATTTAGATAAATGACCTTCACATTCCACATGTATATATATTTGTTTTGTTTTTTATTACTTCCAACGTTTCGCTTTTACGGCTTCTTCAGGGTTAGTACATTTGATATATGTTAAATGTGGCATGCTTTTATTTTATAAATTAATTTTTACAGAGTTTCTTCGTTTTTCGTTTCTCAGACATACTATTACTTGCTATTCTGTTGCATTTGCTATTTGTACATGAAATCTAATTTGATAATCAAACAAATGAATTATTAAGAATTGTAAATGGCAAACTATTTTCAAATAAACGTATTTCTATGCTACAAGAAATTGCTAGAATTCTTTAAACGATGGGAAAAGAACATCAGAGACGTAATTTTCATGAAAACATATTTTTTTTCTGGCAAACATGTTGTGGTAATATGGCATCGTTTTGTTTTTTTGAAAAAACGAAAAAGGAAATTTTTGTCAGAAAACTAAACAAATCACATAACAATAATTGCACCTATAACAACAAATAAGAATAG